ATTAACTTTATTTGGATTTTGATCTTTTTTATATGCTTCTGTAAGACCTAAAATTGCATCTGGTGGGCCCATTTTTACATGAGGCCACCATGTACTATAACATACAAAATAATTTAATATTAATCAAAATTTCAGATAAAATAATTAATATCATTGATATTAATAAAATATTATTTTTAATATTTTATGTTAATTTTTATTAAAATTTAATGTCAATTTCAAAAAATATATTTATAATAATTTATATCTAAGTTCATAATTATTAATTTTTTAAAATTAAAATCACATTCAAATTTTTATCTTTATTGATTCATCAAAATGAATTTTTTCCAAAAGCTGTTCATAATTTTATTATGATTTTACATTTTTTTCCAATTCATTCAGTTTCATGTATTTATTTAAAATTATTTAATTATTATTTAAAATTCAAAATTTAAAATTTAAAAAAAATAAAAACAAAAACAAATTTAATTGCATCTAAATTCACGAAGTATTAATAATTTTAATTTATTATATTCTATAATTCAAAGATAAGTTGTTCAAAAAAAAAATAAGGTTACTTAATTGTGAGATCTTACCTCAATGATCTAATGCCATATAAAGCAATTTTGTTCTTGTTAAGTAAATTATAAGTGAATGCGAATTTAATCTTATTTTGAGCCATTATTAATAATATAATAAAATGTCAATCCATCCGCTTATCGCTTTCAATTTAACGAATTGAACGTATTAACTACTACTCTATAGAACGTAAGAACACTTATTCTATAAGGTGTTTAATAGATTCGAAATTACAAAATTTTGTACATGAAATAAAAGAAAATATTATATAAAAATAAATCATAAATATTTTATAAAAGCTTAAAATTAAAAATGAAATGATAAATAATAAATATTTTTATATTAATATAATTTATAATACATTATTTTCTTAATAATTTAATTGATACAATTAAATTTGTTGAATTTAAAATTTCATTTATCGAATGAATGTAATTCGTTTATGTAATATATAATATATATACATATATCTTTTTGAATTTCATTTTTATTAATTTTTATAATAATAAGATTATTATTATTATTATATGAATTAGAAATTTAACAATCATTTAAGAATTTGATTTGTATAAGTTGGTGCCCATGGAATATTGAAGCATTTTGCTCATAGAATGAGTAAAAATTCAAAATAAGTAATTAATAAGATATGAAATCGATTATTTATATATTAAACGAATCGAATATTCGTTTCTTTTTCACGAAGTCTTCCTTTTTAGAATCTTTTTAGATTTTCATTAATCAGATTTTGTATCAATGATCAATGATTTTTTTCTGATAGTATTATATATTATATTATAAAAATAAAAATACACATTTCTATTTTATTTATATAAATAATTTTAAATTTTAATTTTTTAAATAATAATTTTTTTAGAACTTAAAAATACTATTGAAGAAATATTATTAGATATTTACAGCTAAATTTTATAATAATAATAATAATAATATAAAGAATATAAACAAATTTTGAAGAGTGAAAACAAAACAAATATAAAAATATATCAGAATGTGTATTAAATATATATTATCCTATTTCTTCATTATATATTTTCGCGCTTATATATTTGAAAAGCAACTTCATATTATTGACGTTGCTTATTCTATGAAGTTTTCAAATAATGCAACGTCAATGTGTATATTAATCAATGTATATTTCTATCTTTCAATCTATTTCTATGTAAAAAGAATAAAATTGATATTTATTTAAACAACTTATCAGCTAAAGTAAACAAAAATATAATCATTATGTTTCTGTGATATAATTAAGAAAAAAGATAATTAGCTGTGTTATTAACTGTATTATTTTCTTGATAAAATTATTAATAAATATTCATAACAAATTGACTTATTTTAAATAATGATGATTTGAATTTGTAAATTCATAATTATATAAATTCATATATGAGAAGTGTAAGGTATGGTTTTATTTTAATTTTTTTACTATTAATTCATAAAAAATATATATATTATATTTTTAGGAAAAAAAATATATATTTATAATTTATATTTTAATAGTTTAGTTATATGGAAAAAATTATTTACGAACGAAATTATTTGATGAGAAATGCAAATGCAAATATCTTTAGGATTAATTCAAGATGAAAAAACAAATTCATTTTGGTCAAGGTAATTATTTTCTATTAAAATATTATAAAAATAATTTATAAAATTTTTTTTATCTTTTTTATTAGATTATTTTTTTAAGTTAATGACATATGTCTGTGTATAAAATTATAAAACAACTTTTTTTTAGGAAGGAAAGACGAAAATGGTTTTTATCACTATTATGTGGTACTTGTCTTATATATGCCACAAGAACATCTGTTCCTTTATTAATGCCAATAATAAGTAGAGAAAAACAATGGTCCAAACCAGATTCTGGAATAATATTATCTAGTTTTTTTTGGGGTTATACATTAACACAAGTTGCTAGTGGTTATATTAGTGATAAAATTGGAGGACAGAAAGTTTTATTAATTTCTGCTCTTGGATGGTCTATGACAACATTTTTTATGCCAGAAGTTATAGAATTTTTTTCAAAAAGTGATAATTCTGTATTATTAGTAGCAACAATAAGGACGATAAATGGTGCATTCCAAGGTATTCTACATTAATAAATTGAATAATAGAAATATAAAAAATAATTTATTTTTTATATGTTATATGTTACAGGAATGCATTTTCCTAGTATGATTAGTTTAATAAGTCAGCGATTACATGAAACAGAAAGAGCTTCATTTTTTAGTTTATTAACATCAGGATCTGCTCTTGGCACATTACTCACTGGATCTCTAGGTTCTTACTTATTAGAAAATTATAATTGGATAACAGTTTTTCAAACATTAGGTAAATAAATATTATAATTATAATTTAATTATATTAACTATACATTATAATTTACATTAATATTAATATTTTTTTTAATTGATTCATTCATTTTTGATTTAATAATATAATATATATTTTACCAATATTTCCCATATCTTTATATATATGTTAAGGGAGGATATTAATTGAATAAAAAAATATATTAAATTAATAAATAAATTTGTTATACTTATGTTAAACTTGTTATGCAAAAATATATTATTTCTAATTTGTAATTTTAAAAAATCAAATTATAGAATAATATATATATTTATTGATAAATATAAATCATATAGTAAATTAAATTAAATATATTTCTATTAAAAAATTTATTGTCTTAGGAGGTTTAAGCTTGGCATGGACATTATTATTAAGTTATCATACTCTACCCTTTAAGGAAAAAGCAGCTTCTACTAAGTCATCTACTACCTACACTTTGCCTTGGTTGAAGCTTTTAAAAAAGCCTCCATTCTGGTAATCATTGTGCATGGGATCAATTTGAATTCAATTATCATAAGTCACACAATTTCTGACACAAATCTTAATATAAAAAGTATATATAAAGTTATATGGATATTTATATAAATATTATAATTACAAATTTATAGATATATAAGTTTTACATATTAATTTCATTATTTTTAGGTCATGTGTAATAGGTCATGCTTGCCAAAATAATTGTTTTTTTGTATTATTATCTTGGATGCCTATGTATTTTCATGATACATTTCCAGAAGTAAAGGTAGTTAATTATTAATAAATATTTTTCTTATATCATTTAAATATACCATTTGTTTAGAATTTTTATTTATTATTTTATATATATTTAGGGTTGGGTTGTAAATATGGTACCATGGCTATCTATGTTACCTTGTACATTTTTGGGTAAAGCCCTTTCCGAGAAAATAATAAAAGCAGGGTATTCTGTTACAGTAACACGTAAAATAATTGAAACAATATGTTTTCTAATTGAAGTCATAAGTTTATTATTTTTAGGTATGGAAATAATACTCCGTAAAAAATTATATAATAGAATTAAATTTAAAATTATTTCAGCAAAAGTGGAAACTTTTCAAAGTGCAATAATTTGTCTTGCATTTATAATTGGTGGTTCAGGTTTTCATAATAATGCAATTGCAGTAAATCCATCAGATCTTGCACCAAAACATTCTGGAAGTGTATTTGGATTAATGAACACTGTTGGTGCCATACCTGGTATATATATATATATATATATAATTATAAATTAATATATATATATTTTTTATTGTTATCAATAAAAGTAATAATATAAAATATTTCCAGGATTTCTTGGAGTATACTTTTCTGGACATATATTACATGTAACACACAGCTGGTCTGTTGTATTTATATTTATAGCGATAATAGATGTATTAGGATGTATAGTATATTTATTATTTGGTTCTGGACAAGCAATTATATGAAATATTATCAAACTTGTTATTTTTTTAATTTATTGTAAATAAATCTTACCTTTGAAATTAACTTTAAAAAGTTGCATGTGTGATTTTTAAATGTAGATAAATAAAATATTAATAAAATTAATTGTATTCTGTGTATATTAATGTTGTGCATATGAGAATATTTTAATAATGAAAAATATTTATCTTATTATTATTATAGATAATAAATTAATAGATAATAGATTTTTATTTAATTTTGATATTGTTTTGTTTTAATTTTGATTATTTTTCATATATATTCAATTAATTTCAATTATAAAAATTTAAAAAAATAAATATTAATGACTCGAATTTGAAAGATTAACGCTAATTCAAAGTTAAATCATATTTAATACATAAATTTAAGGATAATACTTAAATCTGATATCTATGTATGATTGTATGATATTGAAAACTAATGGTTATAATTTCTAAAACGATGATTTTCTAACGAACATTATAAAATATTTTAAATTAGCTTTAACGTATTATGTTAAATATTAAAAATATATTTTTAATTGATAATAAATAAAATAATAGCCAATACAATGGTTAGTAAGTGTGATTGCTTACATACATGGAAATGCCTCTTATAAATTGGAGCAGCAAGTGCTTGATGCCTTTTTTAACGCGAGCATGTGAACGGATCTCGAGACTCGACTTTTCGACTTGGAACATCTCGTGAGAATTAATGTACGCAGTAGGGACAATCGCAGAGGTGGAATTTTATTTTTAACGGTACGACCGTATATTTGTTTATGCGAAGTTTCTGATGAACGTGTGATTTGTTCGTTAATGGTTGTCGTTTTCACCGATCATTCGGTCGTGCCTGCCTCTGCCTGCTGCCGCGAATGTGGATACTTCACGGTGTGCCGTACTGCTGCTACCGCCGCTGTACGTTTGAAGTACTCTCCTCGGCTGATTGCCTTCGGATTTTAACAAATCTTTCACATTCGTGAATGCTTTGAAACTGGTTCGTTATTGTACCAGACTCCGCCGTGATTGTCACTTGATAGCAACACCCGAGGCGCCAAAGCTGTCCGCATCGGCGCTTTCTTTAGCCCAAGTGGTATCAATGTTGTCTGGCAATGGTGTGTAAGGAGAACGTAGTATCATGGTTTGGGAATCTGTCCAGGTAATAAAAGTATTATCAGTTTCTTTTCTAACTAATGCCATATTCTTCTTGTTCGGAAATGGAGTACTATATTTTCTTATTTATAGTACTCCGTTTCGTTTTTCACTATGACCTCTTCATCCTTACCAAATTTTGAACTAACCAAAAAGAATATTCTACAATTTAATCTTAATCGTATGTCAAAAATTTAAATGAATATATTAATACTGAAAAAATAATGTAAATATTGATTTTCTTTAATGTTTAATTTACTTCATTATCGATATATAATTTTTCTGTTTATTATACAGAAACTCCAAGTATGGTAGCAACTGTTTTCCTTTAATTTCGTGTATATGGAAGATATTATAATGAATTAATAATTAAAATTTTTTATGAACATTTTCGATTTAAAATTATAAAAAATAATATATATTTAATATTATTATAAATATCAATATTATTCGTTTTTCCTATAAAATATGGAATATATGTTATAATAAAATTTTAAAAAGTATATTATTAGAAATTTAATGATTAAACACTATTGCAACATGTTTTAATAACAATTATACATATATAAATTTTGTTATATACATGTTATTATTTTGATATAATTTTAATAATTTTTGATATATAGTTATTATTATATATTATAATTATAAT